TGCACGGGGGGTGACGGGAAGGGGGGGGGGGGAGGGGGGTCCAGAGGCGTGCGGGGAGAGGCGGCTGCGCCTGCGCCTGCGCAGGCCCCGTGTGCACTCGCGAGGCTGCCCCCCTCTTCTGCCTCTCGGCTGCCCCTCCGCTGCCCTCTCGGCTGCCTCTCGGCTACGTCTTTGCCGCATCGGAGGCTGGGCAGGGCCTTGGTGTGGAGAGGGCGGCAGCGGGTGCTCGGAGTCCGCCTGCAGGGAGGGGGGGGGGGGAGGGTGTGGATGTCTCATGCAAGGTCGGTGGGGTGTGTGCCGAAAGGGGGGGAGGGGGAGAGGGAAAGGGAGGGGGAAGGGTGGGGGTGGGGAGGGGTGGGGAGAGATCGCCTAGAGAGGTGTGAGGGCTACATCGCCGTCCTCATCTCGGCCGCATCTCGGGCTGCATCTCGGCGTCATCTCGCGCCTCGTAGAGGGCGGGCTTGGCGAGGGCGAGCGAGGTGAGGGGCGCGTCGAGGCGGCGGCCGCGCCGGTAGTGGAGCGCGGCGCGGCAGAACTGCGAGGGTGTGAGCGAGACCAGCTGCCCGATGTGGTAGCTGTAGTCTTGCAGGTTGGCGACGTAGAGCTGAGGGGGAGGGGAGGGAGGGGGAGGGGAGGGGGAGGGGGGGTGGGGGGCAGAGAGAGCGAGGCCTCGCTGCCACACGCGCACGCACGCGCACGCGCGGCATCTGCAGCTGGCCGCCCTGCGGCAGCGGCTGCATCTCGGCCGCATCTCGGCCGCATCTCGGCCGCATCTGTTCGCCTGCAGCTGCCCGCGGTGCAGGAGCGGCGAGATGGAGAGCATGTTCCAAAAGGGCTGCCCGCCCTCGCCGCCGCGGTAGTTGACCATCGCAGCCTGCGAAGACGGCACAGAAGGGGGTGCGAGAGAAGGGCGCGAGAGGTTCGGAGCGGAGGGGTGGAGCAGGTCGGGCGTCGGTCACCTTGCAGGGCCGCTCTTGCTGCAGCGCGCCGGAGATGGCGGCGACGACCGCCGGGTCGGACCGCTCTCCCTGCGGCGTGTGGGCGGAGGTGGGGTGGGTGAGGCGGGGGTCGGGGAGGGGCGAGGGGGGAGGCTGTGGCGCGGGCGGGAGGAGGGGGAGCACACGGAGGAGGGGAGTGGGGAGCAGCGGGGAGGCGCAGCGAGGGGAGCAGCGGCGTGGGGGCGAGGGCGGGAGGGTGGTTGCGCGGCGGGGGAAAGGAGAGGCAGCGGGCTAGCCAGAGCTTGGCCGGAGGGTGAGCGTGGACCTGCGTCAGTCGCGGGTTCTTGCCGACTGCCTCGCCGTACGTGAAGCCGCACATGTCCTGCCACGGCCGAGTGACCCACACGATTGGGTTGCCTGTCCACGCGCGGCGAGGGCGGCGTCGGATGGCAGCGCGGCCGCGGTGGCGGAAGCACGCGGCGGCGGTTTCAGCAGAGGCGCGGCGCGGTGGCGGCGGCGCACCCTGAGCCCGCGGGTTGGTGATGACAATGCTCTCCTCGTTGGGGTCGACCGTGCGCAGGAATTGGGTCACCAGCCGACGCTGCAGTGCGTCCAGCTCTGCCTGCGGGTGCAGCACAAGATGCGCATCTTTTGCATCACCGCTGCCCGACGGCCCAGCCTCTGCACGCTGGCAGCTGTCCCAGCTGCCAGTGCAACGGGCGAGCTCGGCGGAATCGAGCGCGGGCCGCTTTTTGCCTGTCACGTCCTCTGAGGGCGTGTCAAAGGCGCGCGTGCCGCTGCTGCTCATGCGCGACTTGCGCAGTCGTCGATCAACGCGCCGATGCACGACGCGGTGGCGATCCACGGGCCCAGAGATGCACGAGCTGCGCAGACTGAGAAGCTTGCACAGAGATCCCCAAAGGGTAAAACAAATCATCCGACGCCGAGTGTCTCTCCGTAGGACAATCCCTGTGTGGTGGCGGCGTGCCGTCCTCCCATCCCTCCCTTGGGTTGTCTGTTTTCTTTCTTTCTTTTTGTAGGACCGAGTGACTTCGAGAAGTCACTCTTCAAAGCGTTCACACGAGGCATCGCGACCGTTTCTTGCGCCGATCTTTGATCAAAATCAAGGCTAATCAGCCTAGAGATGACCCCTAGACACTCACCTACCTTGCTGACAGCCTCAAGTACCTCAAGTCCGTCTGAAGCACCTCAAGTACGCCGGTGAGACGCCCGAAACGGGGTGACTTCTAAAAGTCACTCCGCATGTGGGCCGCCCTCGCGGTCGTCTGACGCGCCCTCCGGCCGCCGCACACTCGCCACTCACCCCCTCTCACCTCTAAATGATGCGGCGGCGCGCACGGGGCACCGCGGCGGCCGGCGCCGCGGCGGCCGGCGCCGCCGCTGCCGGCGCAGGCGCAGGCTCAGGTCGCCGGTACGGCGATGGACGATCGCCGCGTAAATTCCCAAAAGTGAATAACAGCGTTCCGATCCGACCTGAAGATGCCGGCCTGAGTATGCACAGCTTCGGCGTAGCCGGTGCTGCCCAGAGTCTGTGCCACTGCCAGAGCAAGTGTCTGCTCGCGTCCCTGCACGCTCCGCAAGCAGCGCCCGTAGAGTGTGCGTTGTGCGTTGGCCATGCTAAGGGCTGCAATTCAGCCGGAGCGGCGTACGGCGTCATCTCGCTCACGGTTGACGCACATTGGCTGCAGACAGTCGCACTGCGATTAACAATGTAGCATGCCCGAAGGCGAGAAGGGGCCCGAAGGCAGGAGGACTAGACTTGCGCCCCGCTAGCAACGAGGCTTACAAGAAAAGTCTAAATAAATAAATAAAACGGACACACCAAACAAGGGGTGGGAGAAGGATAGGGTCCCCACCTGCACGAGCAGGATCTTGTAAGGACGATATCACGGGGAGCGAGAACGACGAGAGTGGGACATCGCTTTCTAGTTTCTTTCTTTCTTACAGTGTCACTTCTCCACTCCTTGTAAATCTAAATGAATCCCCTGTGGCGCAGGCGGCCCGCGTGCCGTCCTCCCATCCCTCCCTTGAGTCATCTGCGATCTGGTTTATTCTTGCTTAGAAGAAAAAAGAAAAATCTCTCCGGATTCGTGAGAGCTGAGAGGTGTGAGTGGCTCTAGCTCTCCTCCTCACCCCGCCCCCGCTTCTTCTTGTTCTTCTTCTTCTTCTTGGCCACCCCGTCCAGCGGCCCGAGCACCTTGAAGCCCGCGCGGAAAGACTCGCGGGCGGCGGTGAGCGCGGCGGCGTCGGCGCGTGCGTTGGCGGACTGCATCCTACGAACAGAGAGACGCCGCGGATCAAGACGCCAACCCCTGTGGCTTCGGCGCGCGAGGGGGGCTGTCTTCGCCAAAAGAGGCTCGAGTCGTGGTTCGAGAGGCGGAGCGGCGCCTGCCCACAGCCCGGCGTGTGTGAACGGCGTCTCCTCACGGCTGCAGCTGCGAGTCGACGCATGGAGAGCGGCGCCTGTCTCCGGCCGTACTGCTGCCCGCCGTCGACGAAGGCGTGCTTGGAGCGCGGCAGCACGAGCTCGCTCCGCAAGTGCCTCGACCTGAGCACGAGAGGCGCCAGAGGTAAGAAAGACAAGCGCGGAGAGCACCTCGCCCCACCGGCGGCCTCGACCCTTTCAGCGCCCGCCACCCCTCCTCTGCAGGCGTGCGCGGCACAACCACGGCAACGCTGAGCCCGCCCGCCTCCCCGCCCTCTGCGGCTGTGCCCGAGGCGAGCGCAGCGTCGGCGGCGTCGGCAGCGTCGCACAACTCATCGATGCGGCGCGCCTGGCGACAGTCCTCAACCCGCGCTCACTCCCTCTTCCCTCGGTTCGACCACGCGGCGATGCGGCGCGCCATGGCGAGGACAGTCGCGCCGTCGAAGGGAGGGTTCGCGAGCAGCACTGCGCCCGCCGGCGGCTCGAGGGCGAAGAAAGAGCCGCAGGAGCCGAACGGCGCGTCCACGTCTGCAGAGGCGGAGCAGAAGGAGGGCGAGATCGCGTTGAAGGGCGAGGCGAAGGCCTCAGACTGCACCCCGAGCGCGGTAAACACGGCCTGAGGGCACGCCGCCTGCATCCCTCCCGCCCGCTCGTCGCCGCCCTGCAGCGAGAGCACGCGGCAGGCGGCGCAGAAGGCGGCGGTGGCAAACGCAGCCAGCTCCGCCGCCCCCGCCGACTCAGAAGTCGCCTCCCCCGACCCCGCCGCCGCCTTGGTCGCCCGCCACCGCGCCCAGAGGCGGACGAGGTGCGCGTGGCTCACGTCGACAAAGGTGCCGCAGCACGAGAGCCTCGCACACGGAAGCCCGGCGGCCGAGGCGACGGAGCAGGCAGAGGCGGCGGCGGCGGTGGCCACCTCGACGCTGCCCAGACCGCCTGGCACTGAGCACCCGCCTCCTCCGCCGCGGCCGCCGCCGCCGCCGCCTCTCTCTCCGCCTCCGACCCGCTTGGTGGCGGCGGCGTCGGCGGCGGCAGCCCGCTCGAGCGCGTGTCGCATGGATGCGACGATTGTCGTGGCCTCCGCCGCCGGCGCCCCGGCAGCAGCCAGCCGGCCGAGCAGAAGCTCGTCGGCGGCGGCGGCAGGCTGCTGCGGGAGGACCGGCACGGGGCTCGCGCCGGAGGACGAGGCGTCCGCTCGCGCCGCCCACAGCCACGCCTCGTAGTGAGCGTACGCACTCTTGCGGCTCAGCCAGCCGCCGCACGCGACCGCAAAGTCAGCGCCGAGTCGCCGCACCGTGCACAGCCTCGCGGCTTCCGCTCGCGGGTCGAGCAGGTCAGAGTCACAGCCCTCCGATCGGCTGGCGGCGGCGCTGGGGTGACGAGGAGCGTCGACGGTCTCGGCACCCGCGACGGCGAGGATCCGGCGAAGTGCACTCTCAGAGGTGGCGGCCGCCGCTGCCGCGGCCGCGGCAGCAGCGGAGTCCGCACGGCCGGCACGCGCTTTCGCCTTCTTGGGATTGTGCGCCGCCGCTTTGGTGCGTAGCGGCTGTCTCTTTGGCACTGGCACGATTGGCGAGCGCATCGTTCGACACGAGGGACGCGAGGGACACAACGCGCCCAGCTGCGGTCACGAGAAAAGAATCTGTGCGAGAAAAGAAATTGGACTGCGCTCGGAACCCTCGGCGCGCAGTGCAGGAGGTCGCACGGACACACGCGCGACGCACAAGGCACACGACAGTTGAGAGATGATGCCGAGCAGAGCCTCTTGAGATTTCACAGTACCGCCGACTGTCACGCCTATGTTGGGGGCAACACTGTTTTTTGTTGTTCAACACTGTGCCTGCCCGCTGTCACGAGGAGAAAACCCGACGCGGAGAGTGTGTGGTGGCGGCGTGCCGTCCTCCCTTGGGTTGTCTGTTTTCTTTCTTTCTTTCTAAACCGAGCAGAGTCGTGCCTCTTGTGATTTCACAGTACCGCCGACTGTCACGCCTATGTTTGGGGGCAACACTGTGCCACCGCTAACCTGCGGCCCGCTGCCGCTACCGCTAGTCACCCTTTCTCCTCTACTGTCGCACCCGCTGCTCGTCGCCCTTCTCCTCTCAGTCGCAGCACCGTCAAGCGCGGGCTGTCGGATCCACGCAGACGCTTTTGGCTCGAAAAGGCAGACAAGCGTGAGGCTTCTGGAGGCCGAGGCTGCAGCAACAGTCGGACCCGGGGCGTTCCAGGGCCTCGGCGCCTTTCATCACGTGACACTCGGCGTGGCCGACCTTGACCACACGCTATCTCTGTGGCGCGATGTGAGCCTGCCCTAGAGAGCTCTCGATTCACAGCTAGCGTGGGTGGCTGTGCTGTCTTGCCGCAGGCGCAATGACGCTCCCTCCCTTTGCGTCTGTAGACGCTTGGTCTCGAGCTGACCGCGGCGAGGGAGGGAGACGACCCCTCGCTCGACAAGCTGTGGCGGCTGCCCGCAGGGAGCATCCGAAGGCAGGCGCTCGTCAGCACGCCGGGCCTCAGCACCGGGCGCATCCATCTCGTGCAGTTTGAGCGCGCAGGCCTCGCCGTGCGGGCCGGCGAGTGGGCTTAGCTTGCACATGTTGCATGTGCATGTGCATGTGGCGCATATAGCTGGGTGCGGTGATGTCGCCTGACTCAGGGCGGGCGGTTGCTCGGGATTGGCAAGCTCTTGTGCCCCGCCGTCTGGTACCAAACGCTTGACTGACGTCAGGTGCTGCCGCGACGGACCGCCTACCAAAGAACCTGGACGTGTACGCGCGCGGACTGCTGGCCAGGTACGAGGAGCTCGCGGCGAGGGGCGTCCTCTTCCGTAGCGAGCCGCGAGCGATGGAGGCGGGTGGCGTCGCGTTTCGGGAGGTCCAGTTCGAGGGGCCCGACAGCACCAACATCGTGCTGCTCGAGCTGCTGGACAAGCAGCTGGCGCAACCAGCCTACAGTCTGGCTGGCTACGCAGCGGTGGGCCCTGTGGTCACGGTGGTGGCTGATGCCAGCGCGGAAGAGGCATTCTATGTCAACCTGCTTGGCCTCGATAGAGTCGCGAGCGGGCTTCTCACGGGCTCTGATATCGAGCAGGCATGTTTGCTTTCCTTCGGCCCTCTCCAAGAAAAGCACACGCACCTGGCGCGCCTGCGAGAAGAACTTTAGCACCCTGTACCTCTCATAGGCCGTGGGGCTGCCCAAAGGAGCCGGCCTCGACTACCGCGTGCTAGGCCGCGCCGAGGACCAATCGACCACTTCACGGCAGCGCCTGTGATCACACGCCATTCAGGAACAATCCTGGAGAAATAGGACCCGATGGGCCGCGTGCAGGTCCTCGAGTACCAGGGGGCGAGGGGCAAGGGCCTCTACCACAGGGCCAAGCCGCCAGCGCTGGGGCACCTCCACGCCACCTGGCACGTGCGCACGGTTGCGCCACTGGCCGCGCGCCTGCGCGCAGGGAGCGTGCCGTACGAGGAGCACGGGGTCGTCCGCACTCTCTGCGGCGAGGGGCGGATGATCTCGTTCTGCTCACCTGCCGGGTATCGCATCGAGGTGCAGGAAGAGAGGGAGGACGCGTCATAACGACTACTGTGGTGGTCAAATGTTTCTTCGTGCCCCGAATTCGAGTTTCTTCCCCTTTCCAGCTCCCGTGCGTGTACCTACCGGTACGGTCCATCCAGCGCCAGACCCGTGCAAAAGTGTTGTCCGAGCCACGTTCCGCGGAGAAAAAAACGAAAGGCAGACGCACAGGGGGGGGGGGGGGGTAGGACGAGCTGGGCGATAGGGCATTTCTTTTTTCGTGTTAGTGCCAGTGCGCGCCCAGTGTGAAAAGAGGAGCTTCTGGTGTACCTGTGTTAGTGCCAGTGCGCGCCAGTCCCGTGCCCAGTAAATAAATAAATAGAGCAGTCATCTCCAGGGAGAGATGGGCGACACACGAACACAGAGGGACAGTGCGCACCCCGCCCTTTCAGGTAAATTCTTTTTCCGTCAAGCTACCCGCGGGCGAGTTCTTTACCAAGTTGCAACCCTTGTTCCGCACTCGGCTGTGAACGCTGCTGTTTGCCGCCGGTTGAGCAGCACCCCGTCCCCATCCAGGTTGTTGGTTGCTGCCCCAGGTCCCGCACTATGTAGGTGCACTGCTTCAGCAGCGTGCACCTACCTCGATCGACGATCCTGGTCGCTGGTGTCGGCTGCGCAACCTTTTTGCCGACCTCCGAGCCCAGATAGCGCGCCGTGTCTGATCCTCGTCGGCATCTGCTTCCGGGCCTGGCGGCCCGCCACAAGGACTTAGGTGAGAAGTGCCCGCCGAAACATCGGAACGACGCTGCTCCGCTCGACTTGGTTGGTTGCTGGCAGCACCCCAGCACCGGGGGGTCCTGAGAGCTGTTGGTTGGTGCTCTGTTCACAGCACAGTGCGGAACAAGGGTTGCAACCTGGTAAAGAACTCGCTCGCCGATAACGGCCGGGCCGCGCTCTCCCCCGCCACGGGCTTGATGTTTCCCATCTCCGATCGCACCATTGAATATGACCACCTTCCGCTCCTACCACAGTGGCGGCAGCTCTGCGACGCGGGCGGAGACGGTGGAAGTGGCCGTCGATCAGGCGGTCGACGCGCTCACTCTCTCTTGCCGGGAGCTCTGCGCGCTGCCTCTGCAGCTGCTGGCATCCACGAGGTTGCAGGATACGTTATTGGCTTTGGATGTGTCACGCAACCGCCTGGATGCGTTGCCGCCTTCCGGCCTCGGCGCTTTCAGGGCCTTGGACGTGCTCAACGTGAGCCGCAACCGCCTGCGCGTCATGCCGGCTGAGCTGCCGCCAAACCTCGGCACGCTGCTGGCCTTGTCCAATAGCTTGAGGCCGGTTGCACGGTCCCTGCCACTCGCTTCGCTCGCCGCGCTTCCGAAGCTGACGCTCCTGGACTTGCAATACAATGCAAAGCTGGGCGGCGAAGCGACCGCCGCCACCATCCGCGAAGCCTTGCCCGGCGGGATCGAGGTGCGCCTCACGGCCTCGCGTCGGCAGGTCACGTCGGGCGCTGCTCACGGCGCGCCGAGCCGGCCGCCCAAGGCCTCCGCGGCGCAGCGCGACGCGACGCAGCTCCGCGCACAGCTCGAGCCGCTCTCGACGCCGCAGCTCCGCGGCCGGCTCGACCGCCTCTTCGGCGTGCCAACGCACCCCGACGACGTCGACCGCGAGCACGTCCTCGCGCGGCTGGTGGACGCGTACGAGGCGGCCGACGCGGTGCCGCGCCGCGTGCGCCGCGTGCGAGGCGTCGTACCGCGCGCCGACGCGCCGCTCGACGCCCTCCTCGAGCTGCTGCGCACGACCGACTTCCCCGCCGGGGCACAGCGCGAGCGGCAGACCGTCCGGGCGGAGGGCTACATCGTCCTGCCGCGGCCCCTCCACGGCGCCTCGGCGAGCGAGGCGCGGTACGCGAGCGAGGCCGACCCACGCGCGAGCGAGGCCGATGCGAGCGAGGCCGATGCGGCTCCGCGCGTCGCCGGGCGGCGGCCAGCGCTCGACGGAGGCGGCGGCGACGAGAGCCTCCTGCCATCCGGCGGCGCCGAGCGCGCAGCTCGGGAGTCGGCCAAAGCTCGGCTCGCCGCGGCGAAGCTCCGCCGCCACGCGCGCATCTTTGACCTCGCCTTCGAGATCATCGCAGGGGTTGACGCCGAGTTTGCTGGCGAGTACACGGCGATCGCGGTCACCAAGCAGTTTGAGGGCTCGCCGCACATCGACACGGAGAACGTGGCTCCTTTCTACGGCCTCGCGCTGGGCGACTTCACGGGCGGCGAGATCTGTGTGGAGAGCGACGCGCTCGAGGTGACGCAAGTGGAGACGCGGAGGCGGTTGGGCAAGATCGACGGCCGCTTCCCGCACTGGGTCGCGCCGCACACCGGCGAGCGGTACAGCATCATCTACTACGTCAGCAGCGGCGAGGTCGTGCCGCAAGGCCCCGCGGTCATCGGCGGCGAGGAAGTCGCCGCCGTGAGTTAGCTGATTGTCTGCTGAGATATTGTTTTGTGTAATGTGTACTTGAGTGCATCGAACATCACGATACATTACACACTGCGATATTAGCCGATGTGTACACAAAGAGCTTTGTGTGGGGTTGTGTGGGGCGGTTATGAGACTTCTATCCACTATCGCTTTCATCTTTCAAAGACCTCGGACGGCCTTGATGAGTGAGAGTGGGAGGCTGGGCTCGCTCTTGGTCTTGCGTCTTGGACTTTGTGAGTCGCGCGAACGACGTGCACGTGGGGGTGGGGCTAAACCATAATTTAGCAGCCTGCGCCTGTCTCGCGCACAAAAGGAGCCGTCCGCCGAGGACAGCGAAACGGGTTGATTGATTGATGGGAAGGCGAAACACAGTCCGACCAACGACTGGGACACCAAGGCGGGGGTGGACGCTTATAACGGGGTTTCGGAAAAGAAAAAAACGGTGGGGGAAAGAGCTGATTCTCGCAAACCGACCAACGCACTTCCGCTGCGTCGGCCAGCTCCGCACTTCCGCGTGCTGTTCCGCGTGGCCTGCTTCGCCGCCAGCAACCGGACCTCAAAGCGCGAAGCATACAGCGTTCCTTAACATGTACATTCCCGCCGGCTCCTTCACCGCCGCGCAAGCCGCGATGCTGGCCGCGGCGCAGCGGCTCTTTATCTTTGAGCAGCTGATCATATTCCCTCTCTACTACCTGCCTGGGCTTCGTGGCCTGGCGGGCGGCGACGGCCGAGCCGCCAAATTCCCGTGCTCCATCTCGTGGATGACGCGCAGAGGGCTGCCGAGGCATTGCACCCTCTGCTTCTGGAACCTCGGCTGGGTATGCTTGATGCGTGCTCTGCTCAAGGACGGCGACGTTGCCGCCATGTCCTTCGCCGACTGGCTCCGTGCGGGCTTCATGATGCAGATGTACGCCGCTGGCTTCACGACCGTCGTCCTCACGCCGATGAAAGGGCCTGACGTGGCGATGGGCGCGAGCGACGCGCTGCACTGCTACGCCGCGATGCTGTACGTCTTTGACCACTTTATCGCCAACCAATTCGTGCTCGGCGTCTCGGCGGCCTACTCCGTGGCATTCGTCGCCGCCAGCCTACTTTGCGGCGTGTTCCAGGCGCTTCGCGCTGACGGCGAGCGCCTTGGGCGGGCGCTGCACGGCCGCCTGGGCGGCGGGCAGAGAGTCCGCCTCAAGCCCTTCCTGTATGCCCTCGACCTCGGCTTCATGGTCACCGAGAACGCGCTCTTCTTCATCTTCCTGTTTGGGATGACGAGCGGCGTGTCCGTCGTGGAGACTTGAGAGACGTGGGAGGGATTGGGCTTTCGTGTGATGTTGCGACTTGCGAGACTGTCGTCTTGTTGGACTTTGCGCGCGATCATTGTACATTGACTGAGTCGACCTGGCGGGTTGCGGCGCTTGTGCGTGGCCGCCGCTACCTTGTCGTTTTCTCATTAAGCTCCGATGAACCGTCAGTAAAATCACTCGGAGCAGTGCATCTCCTCGCTCAAGCCCGGGATGATCGGGTGCGGGTTCCACACGCCCCACACCCGCTCCCACGCCCGCAGAGGCGGTAGCCGCGCGAGCTCGCCGTCCTCGCACGCCGCGCCGCTCGGGCGCCCCTCGGCCGACACGACGACGCACTCGGCCACGCCGCGGGCGGGGTCCTCCGACACGCTCACCCGCCGCACGCCCGCCGACGAACCTCGCCACGCCTCGTCCCCCTCGGGCCCGGCGAGCACGCTGTACTCGAGGGCGAAGGCCTCGCCCGCCCCGCGCGCCTCGGAGAGCAGTAACAACAGTCATACAATAATGAGGAGGAGGAAGAGGAAGAGGAGGAGGAGGAGGAGGAGGAGGAGGAGGCCTCGGCGAGCAGGCGGCGCAGCTCGAGGCTATATCTCGGCTGTATCTCAGCTGTATCTCTCGGCTGTATCTCGGGTCGCCTCGGCGAGCAGGCGGCGCAGCTCGAGGCTCGGCACCGTGTACCGCACGAATCTCGCGGGCGGTGGCGGCAGCGCCTACCGCAGAGAGCAACCTCGGGTGCAGCTCGGCGAGGAGAGCAGCCTCGTCCAATCTCGGAGAATCTCGGCTAGATCTCGCCCACGCGCCGAGCACGCGCCCCATCGCGAAGTTGAACTGGCGGCCGGAGTGGCCCGAGGCTCGCAGGAGGGCGACGGCGCGCGGCGAGAAGACGGAGGAGAAGTCGCCTGTCCGCAGCTGTCTTGTCTCGAGCTCGGAGCTCTCTCTTGCCCGGGGGGGGGGGGAGGGCGGAGAGGAAGGAGTCGCCGGGGTAGAGGGCGTTGACAGCGGCGGAGGAGCAGGCCTCGACCCGCACGACCGCTCCGGTCAGGCGGAGCAGGTTCGTGGGGAGGAGGAGGTGGTTCGAGCCGCCCACCACGCGCAAGTTCGAGTACATGATCGAGCCGCCTGCAGACAATCTCGGGGTGATCTCGGGTCCTCTCAAGCACGAGTGATGCGCCGAAGATGGGCCACATCTCGGCTGCATCTCGGCCACCTCTCGGCCACCTCTCGGCCATCTCTCGGCCACCTCTCGGCTACATCTCGCCCAAGTTCTGCATGCCGAGGATGGGGCCCGCGAAGGCGTGTGCAAACGCGACGCTGAGCAGTGCCGGCGCCGCTCTCCGCCCGAACCCCTGGCTCGCGTAGCCACTTGCGCCACTGCCGGCCGAGGCTGCGGCGGCCGAGGGCGAGGCGGCGGCAGCAGACGCCACCCCTCGCGACGCCACCCCTCCGGCCACCCCTCGCAGCACCACGCCGGCGAGCAGGACAAAGGTGGGGACGCTCCAGTCGACGCCGGCGGCAAACATGATCGACATCTGCCCCACCTCGCCCGCCGCCGCGCCGGAGCCATCCCCGCCCGAGGAGGTCGCCTGCTCACAGCTTCCTCTGCTCGCTTCACGGAGTTCGTGTTTAGGCGCCCGCCTCGGCGGGCGGACGTCGCCGCGGCGGCGGCGGCGGCCGCTGCAGCGGCGAGCGAGGTGAGAGACGCGGCAGAGACGGCCTCGCTGGCAGAGCGAGGCAGGCTTGCGGCACGCGCGAGCGCCTCGGGAGGGGCGAAGGCCGCGAGGCGGCACGCCATCAGCACGGAGAAGGCGCCGACGTTGTTGGGCGGCGGGGTGAGGGCGATGCCGAAGTGGAGGAGGAGGGCGAGGCAGACGCCGGCCACGGCCGTGCCTCTGCCGCCCACGCCCGCCGCCGCGGCGAGCAGGGCGAGGCTGAGGACCTATCCCCAGTCCTCAGCCATTGACAGGCTCGCAGCCATTCTCAGCAGGCCAACAGGGCGAGGGCGAGGACCGACTCGCCGAGCGCGACAGTGCAGGGTGCGGCGGCTACCAGAGACGCGAGCAGCGGGAGCGATAGGGTGTCCGGCAGGTAGGCGGTGAGGAGCTGCGCCACGTACGGCGAGGCGCAGGAGTAGCGGTGGTCGAGGAAGGAGCTGTTGAGCCTACAGGGACGGTTCTTGTTGCAGAGAAATGTCCGGGAAGCAGCCGTGGCGAGGAAGGAGCTGTTGATGCTTGAAGAGTGCGGCGGAGGAGTAGAAGAAGGCGAGCTGCCACCGTACGACACGGTTCGCGTCTCGCAGCGCAAACGAACGCTGCGCGTTGGAGAGGGAAATGGAGAGGCCGCCGCCGGAGCCAGAAAGCAGCTGGGCGACGAGCGAGAGGAGGAGGGCGGCGTCGGTCTGGGCGCACCAGAAGTGCGACTCCCATGCGTTGGGCCACGGCTCGCAGTTGGCGTAGATCCGCACCGCGAGAGCAGCGCACAGGACAGGCGGCCAGCCGGAGGAGAGTGCGCTGGCTGCAACCAGCAGCGCCTGCAGCCTGTCAAACGGGCTGGCGATGCCGGTGTAGAAGAGGATCAGCGCCTGCTGCGCGGCCCAGAGGAGCGAGAACGCGGCGAGGCCATCCCGTGCCATGTTCGTCTTTGGTGTCGGTAGCACGGTAGGGGGTGGGCGGGGCCTCTACTCGCCAGCGCGAAAAACACACTGAACAAAAGAAAAACAAAGAACTCTCTCGACAAAAGAGATCGAGCACTCTCCAAGTGCGGCTTGAGTAGAGGCTCTGGCTCATGAAAGAAACTAGAAAGTTAGCGGAACGAACAAACGCGGTACCGTTCAAACCCGTGCACGGCGGCTCCAGTTAGTTCCATGACCTTTGCCTTTTTTGAGTGTGTGAGCTGTGTGAGCCGCTGTCTGGCCCCCCACCCCCCCGCGCACGCACGACTCAACAGGAGAAGCCCCTCCCCGGCCGCAGCCGGCTGCTGCGCGCCGTCGAGCAAGCCCACAGGAGCGTACCGCGCCGCCTCATGCAGCGGCTCAACGACACAGGTCGGGTGGGTGACTCTCGTCGCGTGTCACGCACGCAGGGGCGGGTGGTCTCGGGTCTATATCTCGAGTCACCGGTGTGGCCCATGCTAGCGGTAGCGCCGTCCGCATCCGAGCGCGTTCCCGCCGAGGCAGAGGCGGCACACAGCGCTCACATGGCATACATGTTGCAAATCTGGAGGAAGAGCTTTTTAGTGTAAACAAACGGCATATTGTGCGAAATGCGGGCGCGGCGCGCCGCACTGCACCAGGCCCGCCGCTACAGGATGTCGTGCGCCTCAAAGGCGCGGAAGAGGCGGCTCGCGACGTTCTGGACGAGGACGCCGGGGTCGTTTTCGATGATGTCGGTGAGGACGGGCTTGAGCCGGTGCCGCTCGACGAGCAGCTTTGGCGAGCGGTGGTGCTCGTAGAGGGAAGTCATGATGTCGAGCAGCAGCCGGCGGACGAGGGCGTCCTGGTGCCTCAGCCGCTTGACGAGCGACGAGACAAAGGGCGAGACTCCGGCGTGGCCGGCGAGCTTGCCGAGCGCGCGGTTGACGGGCGCCGAGTTGTACACGATCTGACGGAGCGGCTCGAGCATGTTGACGAACGAGTTGTTGCCGCAGTCCATCACGCCCTGCAGCGCCTGCACGCCCTGCGGCCCCTCCATCACCTGATACGATGTGAAGCTAATCATCTCACCGTGTCTCCTCTGCTCGCCCTGCGGCCCGCTCCCTCACCTTTGAGACGTACGCCCCCTCGTCGAGCAGCCAGACCAGCAGCGCGTCCAAGGCCGCCTCCTGCCAAAACTCGGTCGCGAGCAGGCCGAGGTAGAACTGCACCCCGCGGTGGTGCTTGAGCTCGGCGCGGGCGCGCTTCGACGCCTTTGCGATGTCGCACACGATGGGCAGCGCAAACTGCTTGAGCGGCGACCCCTGCTCGATGAGCGCCTGCAGCGGCGGCAGCACCCCGTTGATGGCCGCCTCCTCCTGCCGCGAGCGCGAGATCTTGCAGAGCAGGTACAGCGCGTTGACGCAGACGTTGCGCATCTCCGCCCAGCTCGACATGGCGTGCGCCTGCGCCTGCGTCAGCTTGAGCATCGCAACCAGCGTCGGCACCGCCTTGGCGCGCTGCAGCGCCTCCATGTGGGAGGCGTCGCCCATGCAGAGGTGCTTGATGCAGCGCAGCAGCTTGAGCACCACCTCTGGCCCAAACTCGTGCGGCCGCTCGACCACGCGGATCAAGCCGGGCAGCACGAGCCGCGTCGCGATCTGCGCCTTCACGACGGTGTCCGCGCACGAGAAGAGCAAAAAGATCTCCGACGCGCGCTCTGCGTGGCCGGGGTGCTTCGCGTTGATCTCGTGCAGCGCGTGCATCAGCAGCTCGAGCACGCCGAGCTCGACAAAGGTGCGGCAGAGGTCGTTGCGGGGCGAGTGCCCCTTCATGTCGAGCACCGACTTCATCGCGTCGATCGAGAAGAGGACGAGCTCGTGCGACTCGGCGGGCGAGAGCAGCAGCCGCACGAGCGCGGGCAGGCCGTAGCACGCGACGAACATCTGCAGCGTGAGCACGGAGCGGGTGCACATCGTGTGGATGAAGCGGGCCGCCTCGAGGCGCGTCCCCTGCGGCAGGTGGGGCTCCGTGAAGCGGAGCACGGCGGGGATGACGCCGAGCAAGCACGCGGTCTCGCAGACGGCCACGCCGCCGCGCTGCAGGATCGCGTTGAGCAGCTCGAGCAGCTTGAGGTTGACGCGCGTCGAGTCGGACGAGGAGAGCATGTGCACCTAGGGTTAGGGTTAGGGTTAGGGTTAGGGTTAGGGTTAGGGTTAGGGTTAGGACGAGGAGAGCATGTGCACCAGCGGGAGCATGCCGTGCTCCGACATGAAGACGGCGGCCTCGTTGGCGCGGCTCTCGCCGGAGCGGCTCCCGGCGCGCTCCGAGGACACGGAGATCGAGTTTGCGCGCGAGCCCTCCTTGCCCTCGGCGATGGGGTGCATGGAGCCGTCCGGCCCGTCGGGCGAGAAGATCTCGAGCAGCTTTCCGCACGCGTCGATCGCGACGCCCTCGTGCTTCTGCTGCGACGCCTTTTGCAGCTGCTGGATGTGGCCGCGCAGGAGCTCGCGCTGCCTCGTCGCAGCCTCGTCGGTGTGGGTCGGCTTGAGGCTGACGGGAGGGAGGTCTGAGAACGGGTCCGAGTAGTCCAGGGAGGAAGACGCGTCCTCGAGCGCAGAGTCGGACGGCGAGGGCCACGGCGTCTTGAGCCGCTGGGCCAGCAGCGCGGCGAAGCGGGGCACCGGCGCGTCGCGGCGCAGCAAGTCCGAGTAGTTGGTCGAGAGCGACTCGTCCGGCCGCTCGGCGAACTGGATGAGGATGTTGAGCACCTCTCCGCCGTGCGGGTGCCCGTCGAGCGACGTGCGGCCGTGGTGCAGCCGCTGCTGCGCCGCGGCGGCGGCGGCGACCATCTCCTCCAGGTATGCGTCGCCGATGAGGTTCTTCGGCCTCCGCGCTAGGTGGGGCGCGCCGAAAGCGGCGGAGGCGGCGGAGGCGTGTGGCATTCGGTCGGTCGAGCTCGGGCGGTAGAGGAAAGGCGCGGCGCCGCCGCTCATGCCGCGCGAGGGGTGGTCGGTGTAGATGGAGGAGCCTGTGCCGGTGCCGGGGGCGAGGCCGAGGGAGGAGGAGGAGGAGGAGGAGCCCGTCGAGTGCACGCGCCGGTGGCCTCCCGGCGCCGTCGCGCCTCCGGTGCCTCTCTGGTCGCCCCTCGCCCCGGCGGTCGCCTGGGCGAGGGAGGTGATGGTGCTGGCCCGCGCCGCCTCGCCGCCCGCCGACGAGTCGGAGGGGCCGGAGTAGCAGGCCGTGTTGCCTCGCCCGTCGCCGCGCGGCGTCTGGTTGGAGCGCTGCATGGACAGGTTGTGGGCGACGATCTCTTCCACCGCTCGGATGGTCTCCTCCTTCGGGTTGATGACGTCCTTGATGTGCTCCGGAAGAGGGTGCGACGTGTAGCCGTCGGCGCCAGACAGCGTCGGCGGGTCCCACACCTCCACCGGCATCGCCGGCGCGGCGGCCATCGCGTCGGGAGGCGCGTCGGCGGCGGAGTCGTGAGGCTGCGTGAGCCACGGGTGCGTCTTGAGCCGCAGCGCGTTGGGCCGCTGGGCGGTGTCCTTTTTGAAGCAGAGGAGCAGAAAGTCGTTGAGCTGGCGGGAGATGTTGTCGGGGACGGGCGGGTGCGAGTCGTGGACGATGCGGAAGAGAGCGGACATCGGCGCCATCTCGAAGTAGGGCGGCGCGCCCGAGATGAGCTCGACGACCTATCCGTAAGGAATGAACGCTCATTCATCGGTGGCGAGAGGCGGTGCGCCGGAGAGGACTCGACGGCCGTGCAGCCGACGGACCAGATGTCGGACGCCGTGGTGAAACCGCTCATCTGGATGATCTCTGGCGCCATCCAGTAGGGCGTGCCGACGACAGAGTTGGCCTGCGTGTCGAGCCCCGCGGCCTCCAGCTTGGTGGCCACGCCGAAGTCTGCAAGCTTGACCTGACGAGACAGCGCCGCACGCAGAATGAGCAGTCCGGCCATTGAACGAGAAGAAGGGGGTCGGCGAGGCCAACCTTGCCGCCGGTCGAGATGAGAATGTTGGCCCCCTTGATGTCTCTGTGGATCACGCCCTGCTCGTGCAGGAAGTGGAGCCCCTCGAGCACCTGCTCACGCCTCGAGGTGTGAAGAGCCGCTGCTCACCGCCGCGCAGCACTTATGACGACGATGAATAGAGGTGCCTGCAGCGTGTAGATTCCGACGAGGGACTCGTTCAGCCGCCCGAAGCGCTTGACGATCTGCGAGAGGGAGCCGTTCTCCACGAACTCCATCACGATGTAGAGCGACTCCTTTGTGTTGAAGGACTCGATGTACTCGACGATGTACGGGTTGGTCAGCAGCTTCAGCAGGTTGATCTCCTGCGGACGGGCCGGGAGGGCGGGTGCGCGGAGCGTACGGCGTGCGCTGCCGGCGGCCGGCACATACGCGCTGGGTGAGTGCCAAGACCGCTCGCTGGCGAGCGAGAGGAGCGCGGTGCGGCGCAGTGGAGACGGCTGCTCTGGGCAGCGTGCGGCTTGCGCCTGCTGCAGCAGGTTAAGCTGCTCCTTGGAGACGCCCCGCAGCGTCACCTGCTTGATGGCCACCATCCCTCCCGTCTGCGTGTTTAGCGCCTGCGGGAGCGGAGAGGCGCGGGACGCAGTGGCCGTCGGCCGTGCGAGCGGAGACGCAGGCGGCAGGCGGCGGCCGCTGCAGCACCTTGTACACGAGTCCACTCGCGCCGCGGCCAATCTCCTCGCCGAGGGTGTAGCGAGAATTTAGGCTGTGCGGCGCAGCCTTGCCTCCAATCTTTGGCGGTGGCATTCCTACCAAATAGTGGCGGAGCTCCAATGGGCAGCGCGCCGAGGCGCTCAGTCGGCCACTCCTTTTCCGCAAAAGAATTTCGTGTCGCCCTGGTGTGTTGTGGCGGTTTCTTTCTTTCTTTCCAAGTTCACATCTCTCTCTCAGAGCAGACAGGCTCGACACACAGGCGCGTACCACTGGCGCGTGCTAGCACTAACACAGGCAAACGAGCATACAGTTACTTTGACTAAGCACTTGGAGCACTTCCACACTTGCCCGGTTGCCGGGACTTGGAGTACAGTCGGTATCCTTACAATGGGATTTTTTTTCGGGCGGCCAACGCGTTGAGAGTGGCGCAAAACGATCTGGCCATCTGCTCCCTGCGCTCCCTCTTGAGGGCGAAAGGTTAATTAAAAAGACTGGCTCCAAGGAGAACGAGTGCGCCGCCCAACCGCCTCTCGGACGCCACTTTGCTCACCCGCGTGCTGCGCGCGTGGCGCTCAGTCCACGTCCACCCACACCACCCTCGCCGGCTGGACAGTGTCCACGAGGCCCGTCCAGCCCGCGGGCAGCACCGCGGTGTCTCCCGCGACGCAGCGGCGCGACGAGCCGTCGGCGTTGGTGAGGAAGAGGACGCCTGCGACTCGGGGGCGTGGGTGAGACGCTCGAGCACCCTGCTACTACCTGCTAGTCCTGAGCACTGCTCGGGCGCACCGTCGAGAATCCAGAGGAACTTTGCCGTCGCGCTCGACCAGAAGCCAGCCTCAGCGGCGCTGACCGCAACGCTGCCGGGCGCTAGAGGCGCGACGCCGACCTGTAGTGTGCGCGGCAGCGGGGTCGCGGGCTCCGCGGTCTCTCTGTACCCTGTCTCTTCCTCGCCGCAGCCCTCTGCGCAGCGCGTGTGGTCCCGAGGGGGAGGGGTGCAGGGGAGCGCGGCCGTTGGATGTGTTGCCGAGTGCTGCATGGCGTGCAGGGGTCTGCATGCCGCGTCCAGGGGGCGCCCACCCGCGTGTGCCCGCCGTCGTAGATGGTTCCCTCGTGCAGCGGCGCGCCGAAGTGCGGCCAGGCAGGCGCCACCACCGCCCGCACCACCCCGTCCGCACCGGCAGGCACGTCTGGGTGGTCATGCACCACCCACACCTGCGAGGCAGCCTCGACCGATCGCGGGGCTGTCTCGGGCGATCTCGGGCACTCTCGGGCCACACCGCGCAACTCTCGGTCAATCTCAGTCCGTCTCGCGGGGTGCCGGCCCTCCACCTTGTGCAGGAAGCGAGCCACGTCCCACCTGCCGCTCCAGTGCCTCGGGAGGACGACCACGTCGTTGGGGCCGAAGGAGTGCTGCGTACCATCCACGTCCGTCACGCAGCCCCACCCCTCGAGCACGAGGAAGGTCTCGGTGGTCGGCCGCAGCTTTGGCGAGTCCCAACCGCCCTCGCTGCAAGCCCACGACCCTGCACGCGCCCCGCTCCACGCATCCTTTGCGATCGGCCGCGACCAATCCTCGGGCTCGCCCACGTCCACGAGCGAGCCGCCCGCCCGCCGCGTGCCCTTGGACGCCAGCTTGTCCAGCGCAAAGTACGAGAGCGGTGCGTGCACGAAGGCTAATCTCGCCGCGCTCTCTGCCGGCGAGCTCTGACCGCGCCACGCGGGCTCGTCCGGCTGGGTGCGAGCGAGCCACGCCTGCTTCGCGGCCGCCTCATCGACCGGCGGGGCCGCAGCGACGGTGGGCTCCACTGAGCCGCTGAGCTGCGACGGCGGGCCCCACGACGGCTGCGTCCTCGCGAGCCACGCCTGCTTGGCGGCGAGCTCGGCCGACAGGGCTGCGCCGCCAGTGCGCACGGAGGAGGCCGGCACGTTGCGCCGGCCGGCAGTGGAGGCCGGCAACCAGGTTGGGCTAGAAGCGAAGAGTGTAGAGAGCATCCTCCGGAGAGAGATTTGGCGGTTCTCATTTCTTCTTTTTTCGGAGATCTGAAACCTCTTTTCTTTTTTTGTATTATAGCTCTACGAACATACCCGTAGGTGAACTGCCCACAGGGCCTTTCTCCCCTGAATCGTCCACAGTCGCCTGTGCAGGAGCCTTCGCCAACTAAAAAACACAGCACCGATGCCGACTTAGTGTGGGGAGGGTCGGCGAGCACTCACTCACTAGGCGGCGCCGCAGGGCCGGGGCACTGGCCACGGCCTCGCCGACCACTAGAAGGCGGCCCACCCACTACGCGCACTATCTTAGTGCGCGGGGAGGAGGCACTCACCCACTAGCCCGCTCGCCGGCGGCCCACTCACTACGCGCACTATCTTAGTGCGCGTGGTAGCCGAGCCCACCTCTCCGTCCGCCGGCGAAGGGCACTGCGAGCGGCCCGCTGGACCACTCCCCCCCGGCCGGCCGGAGGCACTCACTTCCGCACACTAAGTTAGTGCGCGTAGTAGCCGAGCCCGCCTCCGTCCGCCGGCGAAGGGCACTACGAGCGGCCCGCCGGACCACTCCCCTCGCGGCCGGCCGGAGGCACTCACATCTCACTTCCACGCACTAAGTTAGTGCGCGTAGTGTCCCGGCCTCCGACCACGACTCCCGGGGGAGCACTTCACCACTTGATCCGCCACGGCGCACCACTAGCCCTCGTCCAGCTCACAGACTAACTTGCGCCGACTTAGTTCCCCGCAGGGCCCGGGAACACTCACTCACTGCGGCATCAGTGCTCTTCACACGACCTGGCGAAGGCTCCTGGCCTGTGCACGGTCGGTAGAGCTCCCAGTTCACAACAGGCTCTGAACCAGACAGATGTCTTGCATGATGCTGGCGACGCTGGGTTACTTGTCGCCGCCGCAGCCGACCTTCCGATCCCACCGATCGCCTCCGCCGCTCCTCTCCGGCGCCACCACCAGCGAGTATGATGTCGTCGTGATCGGTGCCGGAGTGGGCGGTCTCTCGGCGGCGGCCGTGTGCGCTGCGTCAGGCCTCAAGGTGTGCGTCTGCGAATCGCATGACGCACCCGGCGGCGCGGCTCACAGCTGGACGACCAAGGGCTTCACCTTCGAGTCGGGGCCGTCGCTGTACGCCGGGCTGTCGCCGGACCGCTCGCCAAACCCGCTCAAGCACGTCTACCAGATCATCGGTGAGGAGCCCGAGTGGCTCACGTACGACCGATGGGGTACGTATCTGCCCGAGGGCGACCTGCTGCACGACGCGGTGGGCGCGGCCGACTTTTACGAGAAGCTCAAGGCGTGCGGCGGGCCGGACGCTGCGGAGCAATGGGAGAGGCTCATGGCGCGAGTCACGCCGCTGGGTGAGGCGATCTTCCAGCTGCCGTCGGCGGCCGTGCGTGCCGACCTGGGCGCGGCGATCACGATGGGCAAGTACGCGGGCGCGCTCGCGGGCGTGGTGCTCAAAGGCGGCGGCGACAAGCTGAACGCGCCCTTTGCGACTTTGTTGGAGGAGGAGCGGATCACCGACCCGTTCATCCGCAACTGGCTCGACATGATCTGCTTCCTGCTGCAGGAGAGAGACTCGAGTAGAGACAGAGAGAGAGACAGATGTGATCGAGGAGGGAGAGAGCTGCCTCCCTTCCCGCTGCAGGGCGCGACGACCAAGGACGCGCCGACCACACTGATGGCGTACATGCTGAGCGACTTCTACCGCGACGGCGTGCCGCTATGCTACCCCAGGCACACGTCGTTGACACGCCCACGGCACACGTCCATGACACGTCCACGGCACGCCCCGCAGGCGTCTGCCTCGACTTCCCGGTGGGCGGCACCGAGAGCATCATCGGCGCCCTCGTGCGCGGCGTGACCAAGCACCGAGGCTGCGAGCTGATGCTCAACACGCACGTGGACGAGCTGCTGTTTGGCGAGGGCGGCGGCAGGTGCACCGGCGTGCGGCTCAAGGGCGGCAGGACGCTGCGCGCGACCAAGGCGGTCGTCTCGAACGCAGACTTGTGGACGACGCGCAAGCTGGTGGGCGAGGCAGCAGCGCCGGCGCTGGCGGCGGAGCTGGACCAGCGCATCGGCAGGCTGGAGCGGTGCGAGTCCTTTTTGCACTTGCACGTCGGCCTCGAGGCGAGCGGACTGCCCACTTCGCCGAGCGAGACCTTCCCCGCGCAGTGGGCGGTGGTCAGCGATTGGGAGGCGGGTGTCGACGCTCCGCGCAACATGGTCCTTGTCTCGCTTCCGTCGCTGCTCGACCCGTCCCTCGCGCCGGAGGGGCACCACGTGCTGCATGCATACGTGCCTGCGACGGAGCCGTACAGCGAGTGGGGGGGGCTGAACCGGAACAGCGCCGAGTACAGGGCCAAGAAGGCCGAGGCGGCGGAGGTGCTGTGGAGGGCGGTGGAGCGGCAGATCCCCGACGTGCGGGAGCGCGCGACCGTGACGATGGTCGGCACGCCGCTCACGCACGAGCGCTTCCTGCGACGCGACGCGGGCACCTACGGCCCCTTCCTACGCGCGACCGACGGCCAGCTGCCCGGCCCAAAGTTTAGCGCGTGCGACGGGCTGCTCTGCTGCGGCGACTCGACCTTTCCGGGCATCGGCATGCCCGCAGTCGCGGCGTCGGGCATGCTCGCCGCGCACTCAATCCTGTCGGTGCGGCAGCACCTGCAGAATCTGGACACGCTGAAGCTGCCGCCGAAGTAGTCCGGTCGTTTTTGTTTCCGCATGGCACACATTGGGACATACATCATGTAGTTACTCGCTCAGTGCAGTCTATTGACTATTCGTACCGTGTACTCCATACTCGTCCGAGTATAAGTAGACGGCCGCGGGCCTCGGCCGGGCAGCTTTTTTTAGTTTACATAATAAAATCCGTCTCCAACTGCAGCGTGCAGGGGGGGGGGCGGTCTCCCGTCCGCGAGATCCGACCACAGACACACACAGTGCACACACGCACGACACTCTAGTGTCTCTACAGCCCACACCGCTCCAGCTCCCGTCTCGCGCTCTCCATCACCCTCGCCACCTCCTCGTCGGTCGGCCGCTCGCTCCACTGCCCCCGCTCGTGCCTCGCCGCATTGTACCAGCGGCGGAGGGAGTGCGCCAAGCCGCAGAGCGGGCCGGCGCGGCGCGGGACGAGGGCGTTGATCTTCTCCTCCTCGCTGAGGCCCTTTGGCAGGGGCGCGCCCCGCCGCTCCTGGTACCTCCGCTCGAGTCGCGCCATCAGCGAGAGATACGCCTAACCTCGGCCAGCCTCCCGCGTCATCTCGAACCATCTCGGGGTTCGAGGCTGCGGCGAGAGAGGTGTGAAGAGGAGGGGCGGGTGAAGAGGAGGGGTCGGTGAAGAGGAGGGGTGTGAAGAGGAGGGGAGTGAAGAGGAGGGGTGTGAGGAGGAGGGGTCGGTGAAGAGGAGGGGTGTGAAGAGGAGGGGTGTGAAGAGGAGGGGAGTGAGGAGGAGGGGTGTGAGGAGGAGGGGAGTGAGGAGGAGGAGGGCTGTGAAGACACGCCTTTGTGATCCGCTCCTGCAGCCGCGCGAGAGCGACGTCCTCCTCGCTCGCCACCGCGAGGGCGTGCAGCCTGGGGGGGGGGGGTACGTGGTCACGCCCGGGGAAGGGTGGGCTGGGGGTGGCATGGCTGGGGCGGGAGAGGGGGCAGCAAGTCGCGCCTGCCCGCCGCACGCGTCAGCGACCCGGGGGCCGAAGCGAGGGGCGGCTGCTCTTGCGCCGCCGCCTCCGCCTCGCGCCTCCGCCTCCCGTCCGCCGCCGCCTCGAGCGCCTCCCGCGACGACCGCCGCCCAAAGGAGCTCGCGCGGAAGGCCGCCTGAGGGCAGAGCGTCTTCCTTGATGGCTTTCTGTGGTCTCGACAGCGCGATGCCCTCTCGCGCGGAGATGCGGCCGAGGAGACGAGCTCGTGCGGCGGCACCTGCTCTCGGGTGAGCTCGGGTGAGCTCGGCTGGTCTGAGGGCGGCCGAGGCGAAGAGCCCAAAGCGGCGCCGGCGGCGGGGCGGCGGGCGCAGGCAGCAGCTTCGAGGAGCAGGGGAGGAGGCACGGGCCGTCGAGGCACGGGACAGAGGCGCCTGCTCACAGCCTCCTCTCTCTTCACACGGCTGTCCTCGCACGGCGCGGGGGGGGGGAAGAGACTTGGGAGGCGCCGAGCGCGGCGGCCCACGTGCCGTGCGAGGCCCACATGCCGGCGGCAGCGGCTCCGCCTCGCCCTCGCCCCTCGCCATCTCGCCCCTCGCCGCCTCCCCCTCGCCCCTCGCCGCCTCCGCCAGCGGCGGGCGGGTGGCGCGGGTGGCGCGGAGGGAGGGAGGAGGGCGGGCGGGCGGGAGGCCTCGGGCAGCGAGGCTCGGGCGGCGGCGAGACAGAGGGTGGCATGCCCGCAGGCAGCACGACGGGAGCCCGGCCGCCGTTGAAACGGACACCGCTGCTGCCCGGGCCGCTGCCGCCGGCAGCACTGCCACTACTACTGGTGCTGCTCCCGCCCCCGACAGCTGCCGCTGCCTCTCCGTCGCCGTGGCGCAGCGCCCGCTCTAGAGCAGCGAGGGCGTCCGGCAGAGGGAGGCGACGCGACTTGCGCTCGTAGCAGAGGCCGTGCACCACCTTGACCTTAGGGGGGCGTTAGGGTTAGGGTTAGGGTTAGGGTTAGGGTCAGGGTCAGGGTTAGAGGCAGTGCACCACCTCGACCTTAGGGGGGACCTGTCGTGGACGCGTCATGGACGCGCCGCGGGAGAGAGGGGGGAGGGGAGGGGAGGGGTGTTTGGGGGGGGGGGGGGGGTCGGACCAGCTCGCGCGTCGCAGCCTCCGGCCAAGCCGCCGCCTGCCTCGCCGCACTCAGCAGCCGCTTTCCCGCGCCGTCCGCGCCTTCGGCCATGTCCATCACGTCGTCCTCGAACGCGCTCTTGAGGCCTCGCGACTCGACACCCGCCAGCGCCATCAGCAGCGAGATGCCTAGTCACGCCGCCCACACTCAACAGCAGCTGGCTCAGGTGCGCGAGCCGCCACCAGCAGCGAGGTGCCGATCCCGTAGGCGTCCGTGGCACGCGAGTGCTGGCTCGAGTCGACGTAGATCGGGTCGGCGAAGCCAGCAGAGTAGAACGCGCTGGTGGCTCGGGTCGCCATGGCCGTCGAGCCGCCCGCCCGCTCCTTGGCGTGCCCGACATCGGAGAGGAAGGCGCGGTAGACGCGCCTGGAAGGAATGGAGGATTGAGATCTCGGGGGATATCTCGGGCAATCTGGCGCAATCTCGGGTGAGATCGGGGTTAGACGCGCCTCTCGCCACCTCGCGTCTGCAGCGGCAGCAGCGCTCCGTCGAGCAGGATGTTGGCCTAAGGCAAGCTCGCCACGGCTGGAAACAAAGAAGGACGACGAGGGCGCACAGCCTTCGGCGGATGCCGTCTTGACGTCTCGGTGCAGGATCAGGTTCAAGTGGAGGTGCTCCTGTCGAGGAGAGGGCGAGCAGAGCAGCGTGGGACCTCTGCGAGGACCGGCCGTGCACACACAGAGGACTGGCTGTGCACACACACAGAGAGAGGTACTGGCTGTGCACACACAGAGAGAGAGGTACTGGCCGTGCACACACACACAGAGAGGTACTGGCTGTGCACACACACAGAGAGAGGTACTGGCCGTGCACACACACACAGAGAGAGGTACTGGCCGTGCACACACAGAGAGAGGTACTGGCCGTGCACACACAGAGAGAGAGGTACTGGCCGTGCACACAGAGAGAGAGAGAGGTACCGGCCGTGCACACACAGAGAGAGGCTCGAGTGGAGGCGGCACCAGCGCGCGTGCAGCGTCGCATAGAGCCGACAGCCGCTGAGGCCACGACAGCCCTGGAGAGCCTCTGAAGCCGAGCCGCTGCAGCCGGAGCCGCGCGTCGGGCGAGAGGAGGAGGTGGTCGTCGAGCGAGCCGCCTGAGGAGCCCAGACACCCTCGAATGACTGACTGATGGGGCGAGAGGAGGAGGTGGTCGAGCGAGCTCCGCCTCGCATTAGGGCCGTGACGATGCAAGCCGCCTGAGACTCAACGAAGCAGAAGAGCTCTGGGCGGGGGACACGGGATGTGCATGAGGTGACGAGGCAAGCCGCCTGAGGCGCGCCGCAGTAGCCGAGCAGCGGCAGCACGTTCCGGTGGGCGCACCTCCGCAGGTTGGACACCTCGGCCATCACCTGACGAGAATACACTCGACGGCGACAATCATAACAACCTCCGCAGGCGAGGCTCTGGGCACCTCTCGGCCATCACCTCCCCGCCCTCCGCCCCGTGCAGAGCCCGCTTGACGGCGACGCGGCCCCAACCCGGCAGCGAGGGCAGCTCCACAGCATAGACCACGCCGAAGCCGCCCCGCCCGACCTCTGCGCTTCCCTCGAGGGCGGACAGCACCTCCTCCTCGCCGAGCTCCGCCAGCGCCGGCGGCTGGTCCGCTGCGCTTCGCGCCTTGGCCATACACCGCTCCGCCTCCGCCTCCGCCTCTGCCTCCGCCTCCGCCTCTGCCTCCGCCTTGCCCGCCCCGCTGCGACGCCTCGGCCCGCACTCGCGCGTCGTCGGAGGAGAGAAGGAGGCACCCCCCTCCTCCGCCTCCTCCCTCGACGCCTCCGCACCCCGCCTCGCCCGCGCCTCCGCCGCCTCCGCCGCCTCCGCCGCCTCCGCCGCCTGCGCCGCCCGAGCCGCCTCCGCCGCACCCCGCCTCGCCTCGAGCTCCAGCCTCTTCTCCTCCTCCTCCCTCTCCTCCTCCTCCAGCCTCGCCGCCGCCGCCGCCGCCGCCGCCGCCGCCGCCGCCGCCGCCGCAGTCGCCGCCGCCGTCGCCTCCCCCATCTCCTCCTCCGCCGCCGCCTCCGCGCCCGCCGCCTCCGCCCTCTCCTCGCGCTGCGATGCCACCTGCCCGCCCGCCTGCCCGCCCCCCTTCCTCTTCTTCTTCCCCCTCCCCCTCCCGCCCGCGCCGGTCCCCGCAGCCCTCGCCCTCGCCTCCGCCTCCGCCTCGAGCTCCGCCAGCAGCGCATCGCCGCGCAGCCTCACCTTCAGTTCATTCGACGGCGCGTGGACCGTAGAGAGGGTTGCAGAAAGCGGCGCGGTCTCGCCCCCCCCGCCTCACCTCCGCCTCGCCTGGCAACTGCCTCCTCGCCTCCGCCACACGCTCCTCCTCCTCGCCTACTCCCGGGCAAGCTCGCGCAATCTCGCGCGATCTCCCGCGCGACCTCACTCGCGCTCCTGTCGCCTGTCACGGTCAGCTCGTGGGCCTCGTCGAGCTGCCTGTGGGGGAGACCCGATCTCGGGTGATCTCGCGCAATCTCGAGGCCGAGCTCGAGCACAGACGTCGAGCCGCCCGCACTGCAGGTAGTACTCCAGCCACTCTCGCCTGTGCCGTGGTGGGAGGAGGAGGGGGGGTCCGAGAATGGAATTCAGGTTGCCCACTACACCTAAACCTTCCGCCCGGCGGAGCAAGGTAAGGTAAGGTAAGGTAAGGTAGATTTCTCCACACAGCTAGGGACAGCTGTCAACAGCCGAGAGCTGTGGAGCCTGGTGAGAGGAGCCACTCGCAGCTGCCACACTGCTACTACCTACCACTCCCCTCCCATCTATCGCACACCGCGACTGCTCCTCCCTCTCGTCGCGCCTGATTGAATCATTGATGCCCACAGTCACTTGGTGTATATGCCTCTCGACACGACCTCCCCCCCTCTCGTCGGCGCGCCTCGGGTCCCGCCCCAGCAGAGCCTTCATCGCCCGCCGCTCCGCCGGCGACTCGCCGCCCTTGCCGCCCCACGTGCCGCCCCATGCGCCTCCCTTGCCTCGCCTCGCCTCCTTGAGCCGCACTGCGCCGCCTGCCCCCCCCCCCCAGAGGCGAGGAAGGGATGAGTCCACTACTCTCTCCACTCTACCTCGTGGACGGACCAGAGGTGTGCGTGCGCCGCCTGCCCGGGCGTGGGCGAGCTTCATCGCCATCCCAAGCAGGTCGCCCAAGCCTGCTGCACCCGCCCTCGGCGCCGCCTCCGCCGCCGCCTCCGCCGCCGCCTCCGCCGCCGCCTCCGCCGCCGCCTCCGCCGCCGCCGCCTCCTCCGCCGCCGCCTCCTCGCGCCGGGCCGCCTGCAGCTCCTCGAGGTGCCTCTTGAACGCGTCGACGCACGCCTCGTGCCCCGCCCTCCTCGCCATCTGAAGCGCCGTCCAGCCGCCCGCACCACCGCCCGCCCCCTCCCCCGCCGCTTCCCCGCTGCCGCCGCCCGCCCGCCGCCCGAGCTCCGCCTGAGAGGCAAGTGGTAGCACCACATCGGACCGCTGCTCTGGCGCACGCCGGAGGGGAGAAGACCATCTCGGGCTGAAGCTCTCGGCTCATCTCTCTGCTCGCCCCGGCGCGGCAGAGGCGCAGCACGGTGGAGGGGTGGTTGCCGGAGGCGGCGAGCATGAGAGGAGTCGTCCCGTCGGCCGTCCCCTGGTTTGGCAAGGCGCCCCGCTCCAGCAGAAGCGCGACCAGCCTCTCGTTGCCGTGGCGGGCAGCGACGCAGAGGAGGGTCGCACCACTCGGCCCGTCCCACTTCACCACCGCCTCGACCCGCCCGCCAGAGTCGAGCCACTCCCTGACCGCAGCATCGTCCCCCGCCGCAGCCGCAGCGCAGACCGCCGCGGGGGCCTCGCCGCTCTCGTCGGCCGGCGCGCCGTCGTCTGCGCCGCCGCACGCGACATGGCAGGTAGATTTAGCCGGAGGGAGGCAGCGCACAACGCCTTGGCGGAGTTGCGCGAGAAAGGCCGCCGCGCTCCAGGCTGTGCTCTTCGAAACTTGCGCGCCGTCGATCGCCTCCGCGTCGCCGTCGCCATCACCGTCGCTCTCTGGAGGGAGTGGAATTGGCAGCGGGTCGCAGAAAATGCAAGGCATTGGACTCGAGTCGTTGCTGGGGCGCCATTCACAGACCTTGTTGACAAGAAAATAGGAATTCCTACGTCCCATGGCGCTTTGCGCTGGTCTGTGAGAGGTTGAGGTGCGAGCCCTGGAGGCCCTGGGGATGGGGGGAGACTACCCGCGGGCCTAGAAGGCCCGCGCGCAGGGGGGTGGGACATTGAGACCGGTCATGAATGAGTGCGCGACACGCATGTTCACATAAGAGAGCACGACCTTCACGGCGATGAACGAGACAGCGACTTGTGAGCTTGTGTGTGTCTGTGTGTCGCTCACGCGTGCCGTCCTCTTCTGTCTCGCGTCCACCCATACCGCGCTGATGTCCAATACGAGCCTGACTGTTCTTCACCTTCCTACCTAACCTAACAGCGAAGTAGGAACCATGTGCGGTTTCCACGGCCGCTTTTACCGTTCAGACCAACCAACAAAAGCAACTACTACGAGAGCGACTTTATTTGCACGGAGACTCGCACCTCGGAGGTAAATGGCGCGTCTTTCTCCTTGCATTCGCCTCTGAAGCGCAAGAGAAGAGAAGAACTCTCTCTCTCTCTCTCTCTCTCTCTCTCTCTCTCTCTCTCTCTCTCTCTCTCTCTCTCTCTCTCTCTCTCTCTCTCTCTCTCTCTCTCTCTCTCTCTCTCTCTCTCTCTCTCTCTCTCTCTCTCTCTCTCTCTCTCTCTCTCTCTCTCTCTCTCTCTCTCTCTCTCTCTCTCTTGTACACTGAAGGTGTTAGATTTGTTTGGTATGCGAAAAAATCTCTCTATCTGAAGGTATGAGATCTACGACTGTATTTGCTCTGGCCTCTGCAAGTCTGCGCATGTGCATTTCATGTACATGTAGACAATAGACATAGACAGCGGGCTCTGCGAACGTCCACGGCTCTGCTCCTAGCTCTGCTCACAGCTCATAAACGTCCGAAAAGCAGCTCCGCAGTCGATGGTCTGGAGCGTAGAGGTGTCTGACCGTCATAATGACAATTCTCATATATCACACTGACCACTTGTCACACAGTCACAGAGAGTCTCCCCACACACCTCACACGACCACGAGCCACGACGGCTCATTTACACACATTAGAAAATGCTCGCAAAATACACACGGGCGGGGACACGCCGACACGCAGCTGCACACTCACAAGGGATTCAGCACACTCCACGGCTCATGTTGCACATATGTGACGCACAGTCGACCTCACCCCCCTGGCTGAATCAGTGCGCAACGCCTCCCAGCGGCCGAAACATCAGCGTGACGACGGGCCCTCTTCCGACGATGCGGTTCCCATCACCGTCGACACCGCCCTCGAAGTGATAGTACGTCTCGACGACCTTGAAGCCGTGCCGCTTGTAGAAGGGCACGCTCCTCTCGTTGCTCGCCTCGAGGTAGCACGGCAGCCCGAGCTTATCCGCGCGGCGGATGCCGGCCTGGATTAGCTTGCTACCCACGCCCTTGCTCTGCTCGCTCTGTCTCGTGCCGAGAAGCTGCAGGTGGTGCGCGGTCGGGGCGTGCTGATGGCGTCTCGTCTCAAAGGCCAGCAGCATGCCCGCCACGCAGAATGCCCTGCGCAGTCCCAACACACAGACCATCCACAAAGACATGAGGACGAAGCGACAAAGCGCGCCACAAGTCATGCCCGCGGGCTCCCATATGGCGGTGCACACCACAACGCCAGCCTCGTCGCAGATCACGTCGGTGAGCCCGTAGGAGGCGTCAAGCGCCCACGTCAGGGTCGCAAGCGTGCGGCGGCCGAGGGTTCGAAACGCCTCTTCGTTTGGCACGAGCGTGCGCAAGAGCGGATCGTGCAGGAAGGCAGACGTCAAGCTGCCGGCGTTGGAACTCGCGTCCGCTGCAGCGCGGTACGCTCGCGGCTCGCCGACTGTCATAACAGGTACGAAGAATCGCTCGGTTCGTTGCCTCCACCAACTAAGTTCGCGGTACCTGCCGGATATATGTAGGGGTGGCACATCGACGCGAAAATGCTTATGGGACTTCGTGCAACTAACTAGCCTATGCCACCGTCGGCTGACAAGCCTGTGAGGAGAGCGTCCATACAGATAGACACCTCACACGAACCCACACGTACGTGGTCTCGTCCGTGCCTTGCGCCTGTGCGGCCGGCGAGATTGCTAGATAGAGGCGGAGCGCAACATAGTTATCATGAAACATGAAACACGGGAATGTCCGTAAGCGGAGCTTCATACACTGAAAAACAGATAGATAGAAAAAATAAGCGAACTGTCGATCAACGGCCTCTCTGGCTACGGCAATAGAGGCGTGCTCCTCGCGGGGAGTTTCCTTTTCGCATCAGAACCGGCTGATGTCCCTCCCGAGGACGGCGCTCTTGAACCAAAACATCGGGATGAGCAGCATGTTGGACCAGCTCAGCTGCTTTGTCCAGCATGCTCCTATTGAGAGGAAGAAGATAGGATCACTTGTGAGCGACGCGATCGCACACAACTTCACGGACTATGCACCCCGCCACGCGACGATCGCCGCCCAGCCCGTGACGCTCGGCAGACCCAGCTCCGACTTCGAGCCGTCCATCACCCCCGCGCGCGAGCCGAGGCTCGCGAGTGAGCCGGGCTCGACGTAGCGGAATGCGGGCGTCGGCGTGAAGAGGTAGTCGAGGAAGAAGGCGAGGCTCACGGGCGACGCGGCCGGTCGCACCGGCCCGGGGGGCGGCAAGTCGGCGTCGGTGCTCGGGTCGAAGGCGCAGTAGTGCTGGTTGAAGCAGTGGGTCAGGTAGGCCGCCTGCTGTTCCGCCACGCTGGCCGTGGGCGGCAGCTGCGCCCCCTCCACACCCGCGCAATCGCCGATCGCGAAGACGCGCCCTCTCGTGCCGGGTACTCGCAGGCTGCTGTCGGTGAGGAGGCGCTGCGAACCGTCCTGCTCACGCCACTACCTGTGAAGAGGCGCCATTCACGCAGACCAACGAGGACACTCCTAGCTCCTGCTTGGGGAGCGCGTCGAGCCGCTCGACGAACCTGACTAGCGCGAGGCCCGCCGACCACACCATCGCGCCGAAGGGGAGGGTGCCTCCGTCGCTGAGGCGTGCGTGCGTCGTGTGGTTGCCCTCGCGGTCGTCGCCGTGCCACACCTCGGACGTGGCAGTGGTTAAGTCCGCATAGCAGCAAGGACACTCATAACCATCGCGTGCCGCTGCGCACCTCGGTGACGGAGGTCGCGGTTCGCATCTCCACGCCGCGCGCGACAAGGTGCCCGCGATAGTACTCGGCGAGCGCCGCGTCGAAGGGGCCGAGGATGCGCGGCCCCGCCTCCACCAGCGTGACCTTCGCCTGCTTCGCCTCCTCGGGGTACCACTTTGCCACGTCATCGCGCAAAAAGTCGGAGAGCGCGGACGTGAACTCGCACGAGGTCGGTCCCGCGCCGACGACGACAAAGGAGAGCAGCCGTGCGCGCTCTGCGTCGGTTAGGGTCGGGTTGGCTGCTCGCTCGATGCACTCGATGATGCGGTTGCGGATCTGGCGCGCGTGGTGGAGGTGCTTGAGGAAGAAGACCTCTTCGCCCTCGCGCTCGGCCACGCCGGGCGTGTTGAAGGTGTTCGTCTTGTTTCCGCAGGCCACGACAAGGTAGTCGAAGGACACGTCGAAGGAGCGCCCCGTGAAGATGCCCTCGCAGCTCACATACTGCTTTTCGAGGTCCAGCGTCCTCGCCTTGGCCTGGTAATACTCGAAGCAAGCCAGGGATGGTCCGGATAGGCTCCTGAATGGCTCGGAACTCGAGCGTTCCGACGGCGGTCGAGGGAAGGAGCGGGGTGAGAGAGAGATAGTGGTGCGCTGGAGAGATCAAGCGGACATCGTACTTGTCCTTGTCGAGTCCGCGAGCGAGCTTGGCGCCGCCCCAGCCGCTTCCAAGGATGAGGACGCGTGGCCGAGTGGTCGAAGCGGAAGTGCCGGCCGCGCCACGGAAGTGCCGGCCGAGACCGAGCGGCCCGAGCTGCCTGACCCGAAGCATAGAGTCCTGTCTACAAAACGACACAGACATCGACCAACCAGACGCCGAGCAAGCAAGATGCGCAGCGATCAGGGGTGCCGTACGTGCTTTTACGTGAACACACACAGCATGGCTCTTAAAAATCTTGCGCCACATCCTAACCTAGAACCGAAAAACCACTAGGCCCGATAGGGCGCAAAGTGCCATCCATGGATGGTGAGTGAGTGTGGTAGGCAGGCGCCGCCGCCGCCGGCCCAGCGTACTCGTACGTAACGCGCTCTCCATCAATCATACGAGCGAGTAACTGTGTCGATATCTCGTTCGTCCGTCCGTACCTAACGAATGCGCCCGCACTGTCTCTCTCACACACACCCTCACTGCCGTCCAATACAGTCGTGAATGGACGTGACTGTCTCTGTGCGATTTCGGGCCCGGGGTTGTGCGTTTATGTGAACCCGGATCCTGAACCCTCTGCCGCTCCCAGCCGCGCTCGCCGAGCCTCCGCCGCCTCCACCTCCGCCTTCAATCTCAATGTCCCACCCCCCTGCGCGCGGGCCTTCTAGGCCCGCGGGTAGTCTCCCCCCATCCCCAGGGCCTCCAGGGCTCGCACCTCAACCTCTCACAGACCAGCGCAAAGCGCCAGGGGCGTATTTCTTGTCAATCGCCGATCGGCGATAGGCCGAGCCGAAGGCGTCACGCGAGGCATGATCGTGAGAGGCCAGGCGTGTCGCGGACTCCGGGCGGCGGGCTCAGCGTGCCGTCGCGCGTTGTCGACGCCAAGCTTCGCGCCGGCGGGCTCCCTCGCCTGGCCGAAAAAGCCGCGAGTGCTCATCCTCGGCAGCGGGTGAGGAAGCCAAAGCCGAGAGTAGCACTGTGGAGGTGGTGGCCCGCGCTTCGTGCTCGGTCGAGTGCGTGATGCCGCATCTCCTCTCTGCTACAGGTGGGGCGGGAACAAGGTTGCACGCAACCTCGACGGCAACAAGTTTGACGTCCGGCTCGTGTCTCCATCAAACCACTTCCTCTTCACGTCCTTCCTGCCCGCGACCGCCGTCGGCGCCGTTCCTCCAGCGATGCGTGGTGCAAAAGCGCCGACCCACCCTCACTCGCCGCGCACCGCGACCCATAGGCACGCTCGAGTTTCGAGCAGTGCAGGCACTCCGCATGCCGCCGCCACAACCACTCCCACCATCCCACCACCTGCGCCACCAGTCGCCGTTAGCTGTCGCACCGTCGGCGTTGCGCCATCCTACTCTGACACTCTACTGTCAGCCCCCCTCCCCCCCACCCCCCTTCCCCTCCTCGCGGCTCTTAACTGCGCGGCACACCATAAGCGCACGCATGCACACATCGCAACTGCTACGTGCGTGAGCACACTGAACGCTGTGGGGCCTCTGTCTTCAGACGTAGAGATGCGGGGCGTTGCTTACCCTCGCGCTCGGCCCGCCTCCGTAGGAGCCCGTCCGCACCAACCCGAACCTGTCGCAGTACTACCAGGCGCGCGCCCTCTCCACCTCTCCACCGCCACGCCTCCCAGCTCTCACTGCGGCCGCTGCTGCCGCGCGGAGCACGCAGCCGCCTCTCTCCCTGCCGCTCAGCTCTCGTTTTCTAGCGCCCTTGTGACCTCGCGCCGCTCTCCCTCAAGTCGGCGCCTCGCACCTCTGCCCCTCTGCCCGACCCCAGAGCTGCGCTAGCCCCGCAGGCAAAGGCCACGCGGCTCTACCCTAAGGAGAAGAAGGTGGTGTGCACCGACATCTTCAAGGAGAAAGAGTGCGTAACCCCCCACCCCTCTCCTCCCCGAACAAGCCCTTTCCCACGCACCCACCCCGCGCTTGCCCTTGCCCTCCCCACGCTTGCCCTTGCCCCCTCTGCTGCCCTTCCCTCGCTGCCCCCGTCCTCCCTCCCCACACACCCACTAGATGCCTGGCACGTTCGAGCTCGAGTACTCATGAATGACTAATTCGAATGACTAGGTTCGAGCTCGAGTACGACTTTCTGATCATCGCCGCCGGCTGCAAGACGAACACTTTCCGCACGCCCGGCGTGGACGAGCGCGAGGGCATCGAGGTCTTCTTCCTCAAGCACCTCTACCACGCCCGCCAGATCCGCTCCCGCATGCTCGAGTGCTTCGAGCGCGCTGCGATGCCGGCGAGAGTCAAGCCGGGCGAGGTGCCGACCGCAGAGTCCGCCGCCAAGCGCCAGGAGGAGATCGACCGGCTGCTCAGCTTTGTGGTCGTCGGCGGCGGCCCGACCAATTGCGAGTTTGCGACGGAGCTCAAGGACTTCTTGACCAAGGACGTGGCGCGCTGGTACCCAGACCTCGTCGACCGCGTCAAGGTGCCCGCCCAGCCTGCCCGAGAGGACCCGAGAGTGATAACAGTCCTCGCCGCGCGCGTCACCTCTCGCGCCCTCGCCTTAACCAACGGGGCCTACGACGACCCGAGATGAGACGAGATGACCCGAGATGACCCGAGATGACCCGAGATGGACCCGAGACGTCAGGTGACCATTGTCGAGGCGGGGCCAAAGATCTTGGGCATGTTCTCGGAGCACCTCATCGAGTACTACCTCGCAGGGCTGCAGCGCAAGGAGGTCGACGTGCGCGTCAACACCCTGCTTGCCAAGGTGGAGATCCGCACGGCGAGCCTCTAGATGCAGGATCTAGGGCCCGAAAAGACGCGCGCCGTCATTATCTCGTCGCACCCTGGCCTGAAGAGTAGCGATCGTATTTCCGCACCGAGCCTGCTGCAAGACTCCCGCCCGCTGCTCTCCTACGCCAGGACGTCGACACGACCTGCGGCGGCGACTTCACCGTCGCCCACCTCAAGAACCCGGACGGCTCGATGGAGGAGCGGCCACTCGGCAGGCTGTGTCGGCCATGTCCAGGACACGTCCATGACACGTCCGGGACATGTCCTCAGGTGCTCCCCTTCGGCATGATGGTCTGGTCGGCCGGCCTCGCGCCCGTCAAGTTCCTCACTGAGAACAACAACTTCGAGAAGGGCATGATGGGGCGCATCAAGGTCGGCGACGTCGTGCGCGTGCCAGGGTCACTTGGATCATCTCGTCTCATCTCGGGTGATCTCGGGTAGGTCGACGACTATCTGCGCGTGCCTGACACGGGCGGCTGCGTGTATGCCATCGGCGACTGCGCCGTCACCCCCGAGCCTCTGCCGCCCATCGCCTCTTCCGCCGAGCAGCAGGGGCAGTACTTGGCTGATTGCTTCAACACGTACTACTACAAGCCCGAATTCCAATCCTCGAGCGACGAGGACCTCCCTCTCCCTGGCCGGGCGCCCTAGATGCCGAAGACTCACCCCTGCAGCCCCGCGCTCGAAATTCCATCCCTTCGCAGTCCGTCTCCCGCTGCTCGTGTCGTCACGCTCCGAAACGCATCGCACTGCATCGCCACTCCTGACTTGTCGGGTGAAACTACGCGTAGAAAATTTCACAGTTGGGTACTACGCTAGGCCCGGTGCCTGCGCCGGTGGGGCTGCCCTTCCCCCGCTTCATGTACCCCAACTCGGCCAAGTTCAGCTACATCAACGTCGGCGGCATGGTCAGCATGGGCTTTGGCGACGGGATTGTGGACATGTCAAGAGCGGACGTGCCCGGCTTCGAGTTTGGCGACCGCGTGTACAAGCCGTCGATGCGCGGCTATTTCGCGATGGCGGCGTGGCGCGGCGGCTACCTGCTGAAGCAGCTCTCGTACAGGAATATGATGCTCATCCCAATGTACTGGTTCAAGTCGATCATCTTTGGCCGCGACATCTCCAACGGCTACTAGCGGCAGCCCGGGCCCTGGAGACGTGTGTGTGTATCCGGACGTGACCCTGAATTGTGCGCACACTGAGAAATGTCGCGCTCTCGTCGCCGTCGATCAATCTCTCTTGTAGCTTGTACTTGACTTGGTGTTCTTGGATCTTGCCGATGGCCATGTGCCGATGGCGCCTCCCTGTAAAACACGGCGACAGATATCTCGGCACGAATAAATGCGCGTCTCTCTCTTCACCTGAGCAGCACACGAGGAAAAAGAGGTCAACGAAAACAACTCTCTCTCTCACCGACACACACAGGAAAAAGAGTTCAAGTTAAACTACAAGAAGGAAAAATCACACCGCGACCGAGGTTTCAATATTCCGCGGCTCAAACACGCGATAGGCCCGCCGCCCCGCGCGCTCTCGTGCCTCGTTGCGCGCGTCCACCCCCTCCCCAAACGCGAGCAGCTCAGCTGTCAGGGTCCGCCACATGCCCTTGGCCTCCTCCGCCTCGAAGAGGAAGGTGTAGTCGTCGACGATGCTGTGCGGCACAGGCCGTGCGGGGCAGTGGGGGGGGGGGGGCAAGGAGCGAGGGGAGGGGGGGCGGGGGCGTGGAGGGGGGGAAGCTAGTTAGCGTTGGCAGGTCGGGGCAGAGCGCAGGAAGCAAGAGGATGGGGCGGGGGCGGCGCACCGCGGGTTCGCGTTTCCTGTCGCCGCCATGATGGATGCGCGGGCGAGGGACTGGCGCGGCGTGCCGCAGAGCTCGCCCTCACGCCACGCGAATGGGGCGAAGCACGGGTCCTCCACCTCGCCCGCCACCTGGCCGACGTGTCCATGCAGCGCCGACACGTGGTGCGCGAACGTCGCAATCACGTCCGCGAGCGAGCCGCACGAGAGGGGCGGGAGGTCTCCTCGCGGGAGTAGGCTGGCGAGGCGGCTGTACCACGCCGCCACCAGCGGATCGTCGCAGCGCACCTCCGCGCCGATGTACCGCTCGACGAAGCGGCGCAGGATGGCATAGTACTCTGCCCCGTCCTCGTCGTAGGGCAGGGCCAGCGTGTCCACCCCGCGCGCACGCCTGGAGCCGGGCACGGGTGTGGCGGTGAGCTCGGGTAATCTCGGGCGATTGCTGGCGATCGTTTGGTGGTCTCGGGTGACCTCGGGTCACATCTTCTAGTCTTGAGTGATCTCGGCACGCCTGGCTTCGGGCACGGTGGCAAAGGCCAGCGCGTCGGAGGCGTTCCCCGCGGCGAAGACTGCACGGAAGCCGTCCCGCGTGAGCGCCGTGGCGCGAGGCAGCAGCGACTCCTCCGCGAGGAGCATCACCGCGGCGTTGTAGTTGACGGCGGCGGTGGCGTGGACGAAGGGCGACAGCAGGCGGCGGAGCGGGTGTGCCGTCGGCAGCACCTCGAGGCTCGACAGCGAGAGCGAGTTGCCCCAGGTGAGGTGCGTTCCTTGCAGGTGGTCGACCGCCGTCACCACGGCGAAGAGCGTGCCTCGGAAGGCGAGCTTGGCGTGGAGCCAGCCGTCGGACCAGGCGGAGCAGAGGTGGCGGTCGCCCAGGAAGCGGTGCGAGGTGGTGCAGCTGCGGCCGGTGCCGAGCGCGCCACTGGGAGTGTAGACCCGCCCGCCTCGCACGATGGCGACCACGCGGCCGCGCTCGTCGAAGTACCCATCGGCGCCGAGGCGAGCGAAGCCCTCCTCCACCTCCGCCGCCGCCGCCCAGCCGAGAGGGACGGCGTAGTAGGCACCGGCGGGCGCATCCTCGCCGGCTGGGCCTGTGCGGGCGGCGAGACGGAGAACTCGGTCGGGCGGGGGTGGCGGGATGCGTGTAAGGAGCCGGGGGGGGGGGGGGGGGAAGCCTGGCCGTGGCCAAGGAAATTTCTCCGCAGTGTCCCGCCTGGCCGAATTCGGTCAACCTTCACCACGCGGGGGTGGCCGCCCCCCTCGAAAACTAACGCCTCGAGCGCCCCGTCAAAATAGCGGTACCCAAAGTACGCCTCCGCCGGGTGCTCTCCCGGAGCCCAGCCGGGGCCGCCGAAGCCCATCCGCTCGCTGCCCCACGGGGAAATGTTGCGGAAGGCTGGCCACCCAAACGGGCCGAGGCCCCCCTGGATCACCTGGATAGGGTCCCCACCAGGGAGCCAGTCCCCCTTCCCCCCGGGGC